TTTTTATAATGGTTTTAAAATCTTTGAATGATTTTATTTAGTAGATTTAAAACCAAAAAATGATTCTAACCACCTCAATTATAATTTTTATTTTATTTTATTTTCATAGTAACATAAAATTTTAAAATATATTCAATTATACCAGCAAAAGAAACTAACTAACTGTCAAATCTGATACTTCTTTTAAACACAAAGGTTTCAAAGCCTTCTTAATTTATTTACTTCTGTATTATTATAATAATTATTATTATTGTGTACACATTTTAAAACCTATTAAACATAGAAATTTAATTAAGAGTTTATGACCAACCACCCTCTTTTATTAAAAAAATAGTTTTGGCACAAAGTATGGTTTTTCAATTTTAAAAGCTCCCAAAAACCAGCATTGCAAAAAAGAATAAAATTGTATTTTTTTCAAACTAGTTGGCCCAACATGAAGCAGAAAAGCCTATTTAAGGCACTCTAGATATATCCAGAGTGCCTTAAATAGGCTTTTCTGCTTCATGTTGTGCCAACTAGTTTGAAAAAAATTCAATTTTATTCTTTTTTCATAAGTCGTTAGGTGATGTATTTTTTGGGTCAGTCCAGATGTCCATTCGGCCAATCTGACATAGCGGCCCACCGGGATCTGTCCCGGCGTCCCGCTGGAGCCCATCCCCCCTGGGGTCTATATGCGTATTGCAGGCTACCTTTTTCAGTATAATTCTGGAGGTCTATATGCGTATTGCAGGATACCGTTTACAGGATTTTTCCGAGGTTCTAAGGGAAAGAGCCAATCCGCGTAGTTTGGCAGCACGTCCGGAAACAAAGTCGCTTATTTATAGGAAGTTGAAAACAACTTACGGCTGTTATCTGGTTATGCGGCCATACTGATCTATAATATTTTACTTCCACTCATTGCAAATTGCAATTGCAAACTAATTATATAATAATAATAATAATAATAATAATAGATTTATTTGTTGTTAGGATGTATATACATTTTATAGTTTTACACAAAAAAACATATCTATAGTACTTATGTATGCATTTTTACAACAAAAGGGTCTAAAAAGCAGCAGAGCTGATATTTATATTTTAGAACAAAAAAAAACTTGAACTATAATCAATAGGAGGTTTAATAACAAGTCAACAAATAATTTTTCATTTATTTTTTAACATTATAATATATTATAATTATATAATATTATAATATTTTATGCAAAAATTTTGTTTATTACAAAAATATAGTCAAAATATATGTGCGCATTTTAAAAAGATGTTATCTTTTAAATATGTATTTCATTTAAACAATACATAAATGAACTAGGTATTATAATTTTATCTAAAATATTTGCATAATAATTTATCATCGTGTAATTAAAATTTTTGTGTAATTAGTTTTTTTTTAATATTTGCATACCGATATGAGGCGCCCTTTGTCCGTAAATAATTTTTGCTATATATAAGAATATTTTTTCTATATAAACTTTAAATTTCCTATATACTTAGAAATTTCCTATATACAGTGAGCGCGTTAAACCTCCCCCCTGTTAACTTTTGAACCAAAAAAGATATCGATGTTGGACAAAAACCAGGGTAAACAATATTGTGTTTATTACTTTTTTACGTCAGTATGAAATTTTTTTGCCGAACAAGTGCCAAGAGGGCAGTATCAACTTATTTTAATTCTCTATTTAACACTTTTTAAAATCCGTTTAACCATAGTAGTCCAGTCATCTTAGCATTTCACCTCGGAATCTAACGGAATAAGCTGAATTTTTGTACAAACCTTTATTTTAGCATTGCAAATGTTGTCTCAAAAGTCACATATGAAAACGTGTGAGCGGCCTTAGATATTCAAGGTCAAAGGTCGCAAAAATCAAATTTTTGAGAATATCTCCTTTTTCTCTGCCTCCTATCGTATTTGCATTTATTATACAAGTTGTAGAGAATAAAATTCTCTAGAAATTTTGTTTAAATAATTTTTTTATACGTCTAATCGTTTTTGAGATAGAGGGCGCAGAGTGTGGAGCGCTCAGCCATACGTACCTTTAGCGCAAGGTAAATCATGAATCCCAATCTATTATACCGTTTTCTAAATAATTATTTATTAAATATTACTTAAATAACAATTTAAAACCTTATATTTATTTTTATATATTTTTTTAAAACAGATAGTCATTAAATATTACTTACTTTTGACATACAAATAATTAAATAATGAAGTGAATCATTCTAAATATATTCTAATGTTATTATAATTAATGATAAATGCATTTTAAGAAGAAAAGACATTAAATGAATTTGCCTTAAATATGTCTCTGGTCATCTCTTGGATCCAGATATTGCTTTTAAAATAACAGACCTGGAAATACTATAGCGGGCTTGCTATAAATAAAAAGGTTAGGTATACCTATATTTAAAGCATGCTTTAAATATAGGTATACCTAACCTTTTTATTTATAGCAAGCCCGCTATAGTATTTCCAGGTCTGCAAGTTGCAAGTTGTGACCCTAGGTATAGGTCTAGGGTTGTGACAGATAATATTCGTAATATTTTAAAGGTTAACATGGCTGATTTGTGTTTTATTTGTAATAAGTTACTTTTTGAAGGTGATTCTGTGACTTTTGTGCGCGGTATAAAGACTTTAAAAGAAGCAATTATTGAGAGAAATAAACATAAACTACCTAAATACTTTGACTTCTGTGAACCTTCATATTGAGTGTCGAAAATTGTACGCTATAGCGTACTATAGTAAAATTGCAGCAGCAAAACGTCGCCTTGAAGAGACTGAACCTTCAACGTTATCAACTGTACCTCGTAAAAAAGGGAATGATGTGTTTGATTTTAAAATATTTTGCTTATTTTGTGGTGAAGTCGCAGATGAGGCAACAAAGGCAAAAAAATCTGCAAAGTACAAACGCGTTATAAGTAAGTTTTTGAAGATATGACAATTAATGTCAATGATAACGAGGAGAGTGATGAAGAGAATGAGTCTGAAATTACTGGCCGACCTGAAGAAGATGAGGATGAAGAAGATAAAGATTAATAATAATAATAATAATTATAATATTGATATAAATAAAAACATTTTTTCCTACTACGATCCAATTATCCTTCATTGAAATTAAATTAAAATATAAGATATATATGAAGATAAAATATATTTGATTTAAAATAAAAATAAATATAAGTATAAGGTATTAAATTCTTATTTAAGTAATATTTATTAAATAATTATTTATAAAAACGGTATAATAGATTGGGATTCACGATTTACCTTGCGCTAAAGGTACGTATGGCTGAGCGCTCCACACTCTGCGCCCTCTATCTCAAAAACGGTTCGACGTATAAACAAATTTTGTAAACAAAATTTGTAGAGAATTTTATTCTCTACAACTTTTATAATAAATGCAAATACGATAGGAGGCAGAGAAAACGAGATATTCTTAAAAAACTGATTTTTGCCACCTTTGACCTTGAATATCTAAGGCCGCTCACAAGTTGGCATATGTGACTTTTGAGACAACATTTGTAATGCTAAAATAAAGGTTTTCACAAAAATTCAGCTTATTCCGTTAGATTCCGAGGTTGATCCCTTTTTTGACTAAGATGACTGTACTATAGCTTAGTTATTAAGCGTTTTTGTCGCTTCTAATTACATTTTCGCAGAGTGCAATAATTATGCGTTTTTCGCCAACTTTTTTGTTTTAAATACCCATACCAATATCCTGTTTTTAAGAAGATACAAAAAAAAATAATTGATATCTTTAGAATTAAATTGTTAGTTGTTCATGCAATTTAAATTAATATTTGAATGTAAAATGGTTCGACATCGCCCATTAGAAGAAAAAACGGAGGCTATTTTTATTTATGGTGAAATGGGGCGAAATTTGCACGAAACAGAAAGGGTGTTTAATGAAAGGTACCCAGAAAACCCAATTTGCAGGAAATATCTACGGGATTTGGTGGCAAAATTTCAAACAAGTGGAAGTGTGGGTAGGCAGAAACAGGTGCAAATAGTTGGTTCGGTTGTCAATATTCCACAACAATCGACGGCAGCAGTTGCAGAGACTTGTGTTGTAGGTATCTCAAACAACTGTTAGGAAATATTTAAAGAAGAACAAATTTTATCCCTACTTAAGCTTCAAATACTCCACCAAGTATAGTTGGTGGAGTTTGAGATACAACACAAGTCTCTGCAACTGAAGATGACCCTGATCACCGAATGCAATTTTGTGAACTTATGTGTGAGCGCATAGCACAAAATCCACTCTACATAAGTTCAATTTGCTTTGGTGATGAATCCACTTTTTTTCTAAATGGTACTGTTAATAGACAAAATGTACGCTACTGGTCAGATGTTAATCCACATTTTTTTCGAGAAGGTCACACCCAGTATCCGCAAAAAGTTAATGTATGGGCGGGAATACTGGGAAACCACATCGTAGGTCCCATCTTTTTGGAACAAAATTTGACAGGTATGTTTATAACATGCTTCAAACCCAAATTCAACCAATGATTGATGAAATAATCAATACCTATTCTGATGAATTTGACAGAGAAGTCATATTTCAGCAGGATGGAGCGCCCCCACATTATTTTAGGGATGTTAGACAATGGCTTGATAACAGTTACCAAATCGGTGGATTGGTAGGCGTGGTCCTACCGAATGAAAGAAACTTTTGCTAATGTTAGAAATGAATTTGAAGATAGGCTATTTGTGTGTCAAGCAGTCCAAGGGGAACATTTCGAACATCAAATTTAAATTTTTCTTAATAAATTAAAACCAAAATAAAACGTGTTTTTAAAAATGTTAAACCCAAATAACTAAGCTATGGTTAAACGGATTTTAAAAACAAAAAAAGTGTTATATAGAGAATTAAAATACCTTTCAAATGAGGTATCACAAGCACCCCCTTTCCATTTGAATTTTTCAAGTTGATACTGCCCTCTTAAGAGCCATTGGCCAATTGCCATTGCCAATTGGCACTTGTTAGGCAAAAAAATTTCATTTCGTTTACCCTGGTTTTTGTCCGACATCGATATCTTATTTGGTTAAAAAGTTAACAGGGGGGGATTTTAACGCTCTCACTGTATATATAAACTTTTTAGTTCAGATAATGCCGCTTGAGAATGAGGGCGCTTTGCGGTTATCAACTAAAAAGCACTGTTGCCAGAGTGTGCCAATGCAAAGTTTTGGTCAGTGTTTCCAACATAACGTGTCGCCAGATCTAGCAGATTTTAATAATAGTCCGGGAGGCAGTGAAGATTTTCGGTACTTATTTTCCCAGTTTGTGAATGTCATTAAGTTTGTTCAAATGGTGACACAAAACGACAATTTGGGTGTCTGGCTGAAATTTTCGGATGGGTTCACTAGATGAGCCAAAAAGTCAAGTCCACTTATTTTCCCAGTCATAAATATTTCACATTAATTAAAGTGAGTCATTTTATTAATGGAAATAACAGTCTGGCACATCCCAAGTGAAGGAAAGTCAGTCTGGCTGAAAATTTGCGGAAGCAAAAATTTGACCAGTTTTTGAAATACGTAGCCCTTATTTTCCCATGCTTAAAATTTAACCCATTATTTGGTACTGTCATAAACTATAATCAAAATTAAGTCTGGCTGATTTATGAAATTGGCAAATTGTTCTGGCGACATCTTAAAAATCGTAAGAATTACAAAAAAATTGCTCTTATTTTCCCGGATTTGAAAATTTGTCACATGATAAATAATACTATAATTTCGTAGAAAATACACGTCTGGCTGTTATTTACAATCACGAAAGCCCCGCCAGACTGCGAAAATAAGGGCAATGATTTTGATAATTTTTCCATCTGCCAGACATATTACCCATACTCACAGTTTAGCCAGACTATTTTTTTTTCATAAGTTCAGTATATCTCTCACTAATGGAATTATTTTTATCACTGGAAAAAAAAGTGCAATATATTTGTACTTTATAACGCAATTTCCGCCTTAACCCATCCGAAAACCCCCGCCTAAATATATATAAATTTTGCTCAGAATAACAAACCCAATAATTGTATCGGTGTTTGCCGACTGGGAAAATAAGTACCGAAAATCTTCACTGCCTCCCGGTTGGACGAGTCTGGCAAGGCTTTCGGAGTGTTCCACATTAGCGAGACTATATTTGCAGCTGTAATTATAATATAAACTATCATCTCACAAAATTTTTAGGACTGCGAAAATAAGGGCAATGGTTTTGATAATTTTTCCACCTGCCAGACATATTACCCATACTCACAGATTAGCCAGACTATTTTTTTTCTTAAGTTCACTATATCTCTCACTAATGGAATTATTTTTATCACTGGAAAAAAAAGTGCAATATATTTGTACTTTATAACGCATTTTCCGCCTTAACCCATCGGAAAACCCCCCCTAAATATATATAAATTTTGCTCAGAATAACAAACCCAATAATTGTATCGGTGTTTGCCGACTGGGAAAATAAGTACCGAAAATCTTCACTGCCTCCCGGACTATAAAGGTCGAGGGAAAAAAGATACTCTTACGGATTTTTTAACGGAAACTTGAACATAATATCGAATGGTATTTGTCATAAGATTTTTACCTATATAATTTAATTTGTAAGACTTGAGGAAGTGCCAGTAGTATTAAGGCAAGCCTTTTTAACTTCATTCAAGAGTATTTGGGTGAAAATTTAAACAAATTTGCGGCACTGGGTTGTGACGGTACGGTACAGGCTTCAAAAATGTTGTTATAAAACAGTTAGAAGTTTCCCTAGGAAACCGGTCAATTGCTTTATATGCCTGTTGCACTGTAATGAACTTCCTCTTCGTCATTTAATTCATAAGATAGATGGAAAAACTTATGATCCAAAAGGCTTTATCGGTCCTATAGGAAACCAGCTTAGTTATTGTGACAAGATGCCTGTTTTGCCATTTCAGATTATTAAACCTGACGTTGGATTGCCTCCAATAAATTTTAGCAATTTAAGTACAGACCAAAAGTACTTGTACGAAATGGTTCTGGCAATAGATGAAGGCAAGGTTTCCCCTAGTTAACTGCCAATTGGCAGCAAAACAGCCAGGAAAAATGTACCATGCACAATGGTTAACAACAACAAACAGAATATTAAGATTATATGTTACAATAGAATAACCATCATGATGGTGAATATGAATTAAATATATTAACCGAGTATGTTATTAAGGTATAAGCCACAATCTGGTTTCTTGTAAAGTACAAGTCAGCTTGTAAGTATGGCCCTCAGCATTTATTTGATTTAATCCAAGCTTCTCGATATTTACCGACCAAATTCAAAGACATTGTAAATAAGGTTATCCAAAGATATGCTTTTATTGCTCATTCGGAAAATGTTTTAATTGCAATGCTGGGCGATGATAGAAAACACATTATAGAGTTGGCCTTACGTCGAATTTTAAAATGTCGAGATTTCAAAACTAACCTCCAACTTCGTGCCAGAAAGGAACTTTATTGCTACCGATTATACAGAGCTAATTAATTGTCAATCAGATGAAGTCACAGAACCTCCTTTGACAAAAAGTATCCCAGAAGCAGATATTAGGAATATTAGGAATGAGCAGCTCGTTTTTTGATTAAAACAACCAAAGAGTCTCTCGCAGAGACTTTGAATACAACCATAGACAACAAGTAAAAAGTAAGGTTATGTCACATTGTTACCAGAGAAAACAAAACAATAATTTAAGATATTTAAATTTGAATGTACCGCGCTTTAAGCTAGTTCTTCCAGTAGCCACTAGAGTCGCCACCGAAATTATTTTCCCCACTTCTAACAGGATGATGCGCCGTTTGGGTCACGTAAAACAATGGTAAAAAAACATTTTTTTATGCAAATATTTCCTGTACCAAAATATTTCTCCCACAATAAATTTTTTCTCACAAAAACTATTCCTCCCGCAAAAATATTTCTCCCTCAAAAAAATCTTTCTTCCACAACAAGAAACATTTTTCTCAAAAAAACAATTTTTTCCCACAAAAAACTGTTACTCCCGCAAAAATATTCATAAAAACGTCACTCTTTTGTGTTTGTTTCTCTTTGTTTGTTTATAACGGTGATTTGATTATATTATAATCATTATAATCTTAATATTTTTATAATATTTGTTTAGGTGTTGCAGTGTGCACGAGTTGTACAGTACAACATGTATTTGCAGAGTTGATCCGTTAAAATAATTTAGCGTTTTTAACAATTTTTTGAATTGTTGAATAAATAAGTTTAAAATGGATAGCAGTAAAAAATATAAAAACCCGAGTCCCGAAGAAAACGCCAATATATTTTCCAAGTTATTTTTTTGGTGAGTAGGCGGTTTTTTTTTGTTCATTAAAAGGCAAATTTTAAGGGAATTGGTACATAAACCTATTTTATTTGACGTTAATTAAATATATTTCCAATAATTTATATTCAAATGACTGCCTACTACATAAAAGTAAACAATTAAAATTAAGTATTAAAACAACCCTTAAGAGTATTATAGTTTTACGACTTTGTTTTATAGTTTTAAATAATTTAAAGAAACAATTTTATCTACTCCTACATTGACGAGCTGCGACTTTATAGGGTTTTAGTGACGGGCTGAAGTTAGCAATAGTGGCTTTTGGGCATTTTAGTCACGGGCTGAAGTTTTATTATAAATAGGAAAAAAGTGCGGTTAAATCCGTTGACATTTGACAGATGTCCAAACATTTAACAAATAAAATTGGCTTTAAATTCTTCTTTGTGTTCGTCGTAGATAAAGTATAGTATGCAACCCGTTTTATAAACTTCTCTAGACTCTCGTTTTTACTAAACACTCGCTTGCAAGCTTTGCTCTTGCCCAATAAAACTCGTAACTAAAATGGCATTTATAAAACTTGATACATAATATAATATATACTATATACATTTATATATAAATGTGGGTATTTAAGATTTAATTGTTATTTATAGTGGACTAAAATAAAAATATTAAATAATTAAAGTAAATATTTATTTTTAATTATTAGAAATTATTTTCAAAATAGGAATATCAATTCCCTGGATACCTACTATTAAGTTAAAATTTTAAACTTAAAAATAAACCACAAAATTTAGTTTGTTGTAAGCGAGTTGTAAGCGGTTGTAAGTATTTACTTTTGACTAGTCAGATACTTATAATTATGATTTTATCAACAAAAATTTATAAGATTAATGTAAATTTTAATTATTTTGTATTATGCCGCGCTAGACAAGTACATTTTTATATTTAGAAACGCCTTAAAAATATTTAGATAAAAAGTCTTTATTTTAGAAACGCCTTAAAAATATTTAGGTAAAAAGTCTTTAACTGCTTTATTTCGTAGGTAATTGAAAAAAACTTAGATTCTCTGTGATTTCTAAATTATAGCAACTTATTTATTTCATGATTTTATAAATAATGATTATCATTCCATGACTTAAAATATCAAATAAATTCGCCATGAAAAAAAATATTCACGTTAAATATTTGTGTAGCATAAAAATAGAAGAGTAAAAAATCATGTCGTAAAATGCCGGCCCTGAATTTAATGTTGGAAAAATTAAAACAAGATCATTTAAATTAAACAAACAATTTAAAATGCATTTAGGATTTAATTCTTATTTATAATGAAATTATATCAAATATTCCATTTGTTTTTAAAATATTATAGTACCTACCTATATATTATAATATTTTTTCTACTCCCACCTTTAAAACGCCCTTTATCGTACATGTTTCCATGACACTAAGTGACCTTTTAAATACACATTGACAAGTTGTGGCTTTATGGCGCCTTAGTCACGGGCTGAAGTTAGCAACAGGTTTTTATTCACGGCTGAAGTTAGTTTTAAGTTAGTTGACAATTGTCAAATGTCATACAATCGTTAAAATAAAGTGCATCTCTTCTAAAATAATACTAAATGTGAAAAGTATTTTATTATCTCAATACAAAAATACAAAAGTATTAAATAGTTTCTCAACGCCAATATTTGAAAAGTTTATATGAACATTGTACTGACCTTTTAATTTCTCCGGCAGTAAACTAACTTAAATTCGGACACGGACTCCACTGTAAAGTGCTCATAAAACATTTTCTTTACTTTTACTGTGAAAAACTGTAACTCAATTTTCAAGAAATACATTTTGATTTATAACCTTTATAATCTGTGTTTATAAAATAAAAAATTTGACATTTGACGGTGATAAACAGGTTCCCCTATTGTTTCATAGATGGCGCTCTATACAAATTTTTGATTTAAATGATTTTAAGATAATAATAAGTATTTGTCGTAGAAAAAGTATAGTATGCACCTCGTTTATAAACTTTTCTATACACTCAATAATTTAAGCACTCGCTCGCAAGCTCGCTCGTGCCTAAATTAAATTCGTGTATAAAATGGCGTTTATCAAACTTGATACATAATATACTATTAAATAATTTATAATAATCAAGTATTAAGTTTTATAAACGCCATTTTAGTGTTTAATAAAAACGAGAGTTTATGAACTAGTTGCATACTTTATCTACGACGAACTCAAAATAGTATAATATACCTACATAATATTATTATGTATCAAGTTCGATAAACGCATTATGAGGCTCATAATATGAGTGTCTAGAAAAGTTTATAGAGGAGTTGCATAATAGGGTGCTTCATTTTAGAGCGACATTTTTTTTTTCAAAGTCCCACCTGAAAATCTTGTAACCCGTCAGAAAACAAAAATTTTGAGCTATTACAAAGCTCTTAATCTTTATTTTAAACCGTTGCTGAGCCATTCCACGCGTAACGGATACTACAGTTGCCGTGTTTTTATTTACAAAATAATATTGTTCTATTATATTACCAATGTCAAATTTTTATAAATAAACTAAAGCTGTTTAACAAGGTTTTTATTTGGCAAAATTAGGTATCGTGACTGTTTAATTCCTTAAAAATTAGTAATTTAAAGCGTAACGGGCGGGACTATTGCAAAGTCCCGACCGTTACGCTTTAAATTATTAGTTTTTAAGGAATTAAAGAGTCAACCACGATACCTAATTTTGCCAAATAAAAACCTTGTTAAACAGCTTTAGTTTAGAACTATTTATAAAAATTTGACATTGGTAATATAATAGAACAACCTTATTTTGTAAATAAAAACACGGCAACTGTAGTATCCGTTACGCGTGGAATGGCTCTGCTATTTAATTTTTAAATATTTCCCTTTAAAAAACATTAAAAAACATTGTTTTATTCTTTTTTCCTTCCGCCCGTACAGTAAGAATATTTTTTTCGAATTTCGGTTCCAAAATCTTTATACAGGATGGAATTATTTTCAAAAATGTCTATTTAAGCAAGTCTGTAAGTTGAATATGTTCTTCACAAATTGCCGTTCTCGAAAATCAGTTATAGTTTAGCTTGTAAAGCCGGCGATACCCTAAAAGTCGTCGCAGGCCACGAATATTAGTCAGGGCGGGAAGTTCACGGATAGATTTAACTTTATCGGGGTCGGTTTGTATACCATTAGAAGTAACCAAATTCCCCAAATATTTAAGTGATTTACGGCCAAATTGAAATTTTTCGGGATTAATTTGGCAGTACGGAGGCGGCTAAAAACCTCTTTTAGGTTTTGTAGATGTTCGGTGAATGTTGTGCCTATTCGTTAAAACTGATCGTCTCACTCACACCTTTTATCCAGATAAAACACTTGAGAAATTAATTTAGGAGAAGGTACCACACGCAATTTGCACTTATTTTGCAATTGGATATGGTATATCACGTGTATAATTATAATCGCTATTAATTTTGTTTTTTGATTTAATGAACAACTTTAGCGGTGATGGAACTATGGAAGTACGACCGCGTTAACCAATCGACCTCTTGCTTCAAGGTGCCGTGCATCACTGGATAATTAACAAATTTAAACCTTTCATTTTTTAAAACGTCATAAAATTTTGGTCTATTCTTTTTTATACAACTTAAATAAATAAACCTCAAGTCATTCAAAAACTACTCGTCAACGTTTTGTATTTTATTTTTTAGGACACTTAGCATAAAAAATCTAAAGCATATTGATAATGTAGGTAAATGATAAAATATTTTCAGTTGGTTACTTCCATTCTTTAAATACGGCTACAAAAATGATCTCCAACTTAAAGATATCTACAACACCGCCAACAAAGACGCGACAGGCCCTCTAGCGGACGAACTTGAAAAGTAAGCACAAAAAAATAAGGAAAAAATAATTCTAACAAACACACATTTTCAGACACTGGATAGCAGAAATCCAAAAAGCAAAAAAATCAAACTCCACACCGAATCTCAGCACAGCCATCAAAAATACATTTTGGAAATCCTATGCGGTATTTGGCTTTTCTTTGTTCCTACAATGGGTTGTGATAAAGTAAGCATTATTATTTTCAGTCTAACATAAAATTTCCTTAAAAATTCCAAATAGGGATATGACCAAAAAAAATTAGTTAAAATAACAACTGTTTAATTTAATTTTATAAGAGATTCCTCAAGAAAGCACTGTAATGATAGAGGTCATAATTTAAAAACTCAGTTAATAAATATTAAACTAATAGTTTGTTTACTTTAAGAATGATGCAGCCCTTAGTTATAGCATGGTACATAAATTATTTTCAAGATGACCCAAATAAAGATACCACGCTGGGGTGGATCTTGGCTACAGCTGTCACCTCTATGGCTTTTGTAAATATTTTAATATCACATCATACAAATTTGGGTTGTCAAAGAATTGGACTTAGAGTTAGAGTAGCTTGTGGTTCTCTAGTATACAGAAAGGTATATATAGCCATAGATGACGCTATAGTTAGCATAAAATAAAAATAACATGATTTCTTTTTTAGATTTTGAGATTGAACCAAAAGTCTTTGGCTAAAACAGCTGCTGGCCATTTGGTAAACCTACTCTCTAACGATTTACAAAGATTTGATCAAGCTTCAACAAGGATGCATTTCATTTGGATTATGCCCATCCTAGCCTGCATAGCATCAGTTATTATGTACTCCCAAGTCGGATTTGCATGCTTAGCAGGTCTAATATCCATGGCCATACAGGCTGTGCCTATACAAGGATATTTATCCAAGCTTCAAGGTCAATTGAGGTATAAGGTCGCTAAAAAAACAGACTTTAGAGTGAAGCTGATGAATGAAATTACTTTGGGGATACAAGTTATTAAAATGTACGCTTGGGAGATACCTTTTCAAAAAATGGTGGAAGCTTCCAGAAAATATGAGATTAGTATAATAACGAAAACTTCGTATATACTGGGCTTCACTAGGGCTATGACTGTGTACACTGAAAGAACTGCGCTTTATTTAACTTTAATAACCTATGTACTTATGGGAAATAGGCTCACAGGTAGGGACGTAAACAAAGTTTTTTTCCAGATTTAAAGAAAAAATAGGTATATTGTCATTTTTTTGTTTAAATTTGCTATTTTATATGTTTATTAAATTATTTAAAAATTTTCGTGAAATAAATGTCCAAATTTTAACTAAAATATTCGCAAATTTTTTGATTTCTGAAAGTAAGTTTCGAAAGGCACAAAACGTTAAAAACAGCCATATGGAACTAGGACCAAGTTTGAAAAAAACCTAAAAAGTACAAAAAACGGATGTTTTTCACGTAACACCTCTGCTTACAGGTGAGGTTGTTTTCTCCATGGCGCAACTATTTAACACTGTACAGTTGTGCATGTGCATAAATTACCCCATGGCAATGTCCTTTCTGGCTGAAGCAAAGGTTTCCATTAAAAGATTAGAGGAATTTTTGACCCTTGATGAAACAATGGAAAAACCCAAAGACAAAGAAGTATCAGCACAACCGGGATTAATAAAGCTAACAAAAATAAACGCCAGTTGGATACCAAACCCGATAGTCGACACTCTACGCAACATAGACTTGAACATTCCGCCAGGTACCTTATGCTGCGTGACCGGTAATGTTGGTACCGGTAAGAGTTCTCTCCTGCAGTTGCTGCTAAAAGAACTTCCCTATTTGAGCGGTAAACTCGATGTACAGGGCGATATAACCTACGCCTCGCAGGAGCCGTGGTTGTTTGTCTCAAACGTGCGCAACAATATTCTCTTCGGCCAACCCTACGTCCAAAACAGGTACAAACAGGTGGTCAAAGCATGCGCACTGGAAAGGGACTTTAAACTTTTCCCTTTTGGGGATAAAACTTTAGTGGGAGAAAGGGGAGTCTTTCTATCTGGGGGTCAGAGGGCGAGAATTAACCTAGCCAGGGCCGTATACAGAAAATCGGATATTTATTTATTCGACGACCCGTTATCAGCAGTCGACACCCACGTGGGTAAACATTTATTCGAGGAGTGCATAAAGAAGTACTTAAACAACAAAACGAGAGTTTTGGTTACCCATCAACTGCAATTCCTCAAGGATGCCGACCTCATTGTTGTATTAAACAATGTAAGATTATTTACGGCATAATTTGCCAGAGTTTATAAATATTTTTTTAGGGCCAAGTCGAAAAAGTTGGTACTTATTCGGAGCTTTCTTTAAGCGAGTTAGATCATATTGTGGCTGAACAAAATCATGAGCAAAACAACGAAAATGTTAAAGAGGAAACAATTGAAATAATTAAGAGGGATAGGAGAGTGTCTGTTACTTCATATGCTGTAAGAATATATTTTTTTTACACTAAATTAGGGAAAACTTTATTTAAAAAAAAGGTTTTTACCTTAAGCATTTAAAAGAAGGCTTATGAAATGCAGTTTTTTCTTAACTACTACTTTTAGAGCACTATAGAAGAAGAAAGGGAACCCGAAGAGACTGTAGAACTTATGGCTAAAGGTGCCTTATCCTTACAAGTATACAAAGAATATTGCAAAGCTGGTGGAAACGTATTTGTTATAATGTTTTTTGTATTTTTATTCGCTATAGCGCAAGCTACCAATAACGCGGGAGATATATGGCTAAGATTTTGGTAAATAACATTCGTAAAAATAATTTTACATGTTAATAATTTTGTTTAAATTTAGGATTAATAATGAAGAAGGCAGCGATTTAAGCAATGATACTACAAGTGCTATAAATAGCACACACTCGAATGTTACTAATTTAATAGGCAATATGACAAGTTCTACTGATATTCCAGAACTTTGGAACGAAAATGAAGATTATATTCAAAAAAGAAATATTTATATTTACGTTTACACATTCTTTATAATATCGGCGATTATATTGACTAACGCCAGATCAATGTTATTTTTTAAAATTTGCATGAATGCTTCTCGAAATTTACACAATAAGATGTTTATGAACATACTTCAAGCTCCTATGAGGTTTTTCGATACTAATCCTTCAGGTAAATAAATAAAAGAAATATACGAGCCATATTGGATTTATTTATTTCTATTTCTCTCCAACTGTCGGATATTACTCTGAAAGCTCCAGAAGAAGTTTAACTACAAAAATATATTTTTCTTTTAGGAAGAATTCTATCAAGATTCTCCAAAGACATTGGAGTGGTCGATGAAATATTACCCAGGGCAACCCTAGACTCCATACAAATATTTTTCGTAATGTTCGGTGTTATATGCATGGTCTTCATAGTAACCCCGTGGATGATGTTGCCGACCATTTTCCTGGGAATCCTATTTTACTACGCTAGAACTGTTTATCTAGCCTCCGCTCAAGACGTAATGAGACTGGAGGGGATATGTAAGTGTGCAATGGATTTAAGTTTATTATTAATAATCTTTTGGTATTTGTAGCGAGGGCACCTATGTATTCGCACGTATCGGCAACACTGTACGGTATGTCCACCATAAGATCGTCAAAAGCACAAAGAATGATCGTTAAAGAATTTGATACGTTGCAAGATCAAAACACGGGCACGTGGTTCTTATACCTAGCAAACTCGGAAACTTTTGGTTTGTACTTGGACATGATAAGCACGATATTTTTGGCGATTTTGACTTATCAATTTTTGATATTCGACGATGGGAGCACTCTTAAAGGCGACGTCGGTTTGGTGATAACTCAAAGTTTGGTTTTGATGGGTATGTTGCAATTCGGCGTTCGGCAAACTGCAGAGGTCGCTGGTAATATGACGAGCGTTGAGAGGATTCTACAGTACACCAAGTTGGATAAGGAAGGTCCATTCAAGAGTTTACCCACAAAAAAACCACCACAAGGGTGGCCCAGTGCTGGAGAAATCAAGTTTAATAATACCTACTTGAAATATGTTCCTGAAGATCCTCCTGTGCTGAAGAATCTTAATGTTGAAATAAGGCCAGGAGAAAAGGTATAATTAATACAAATTCCAAAAAATATTTTATGTCAATTCTTGGTAAATTACACAGGTATGCAAAATTTGACGAGCTAAATCCGATCTAAGAAGGTTTTTATAAGATTGCAGACCTGTGTTTATATGATCATAAATTCGTCTCTAGAATTACAAATTCAATAAAAAAGTTTTAAGAACAAAAATAATCCTTACTTAAACTATTTCTAGGTTGGTATAGTTGGTAGAACGGGTGCTGGAAAATCATCACTTATTGCCTCAATATTTAGACTCGCCAAAATAGAAGGTTTAATAGAAATAGACAACATAGATACCGAATCTATAGGTTTGGAAGACTTGAGAAAAAATATTTCCATCATTCCCCAAGAACCTGTGTTATTTTCTGCTACGGTCAGATACAACTTGGATCCATTTGACAAGTGTTCAGACGAAGCATTATGGAAAGCACTTGAAGATGTAAAAAAATAAAAATCTCCAAAACAAGTTGTGATTATTTTTTTTTAGGTTGAGTTAAAGGACTCTGTAGAAGCCCTTACACAAGAAATCAGTGAAGGAGGGTCAAATTTCAGTGCTGGACAAAGACAGTTAGTATGTTTAGCAAGAGCTATTATTAGAAATAACAAAATCTTGGTAATGGACGAAGCTACTGCCAATGTGGATCCACAGTAAGTATTAAACTCTTCGGTCCAGGTTTTATCCCAATAGTAAAAAAATATTTTAGTACCGACGCTTTAATCCAACAAACCATCCGCAAAAGTTTCAAAAACTGCACAGTGATAACGATAGCGCATAGATTGAATACCATAATGGATTCAGACAAGGTTCTTGTCATGGACGCTGGACAATGCGTTGAATTTGATCATCCACATATTTTGCTGCAAAATCCCGAGGGATATTTTTCGAAAATGTTGGAACAAACCGGCAAAAATTTGGAGGACAAATTAAGAAAAGTTGCGCAGTATGCACATGAACAAAATTCGAATAAAGTGAAAGAACATGCAACTAATAAAGTTGTTGATAGTAATGAAGAAAATAAAAAACATGAAAATTAAGGAAATGCTGGCACCAAACTTTAAAAAAGTGACCAGTTTGGTTTATACTCAGGTAAATAATATTTACTAAACATAAGTATGTTTTTTGTTTTAATATTGTTAATATAAGAGTTATATATGTAGATGTAAGTGATACAATGTAGGAAAATCATTTTTATTTTAAAACATGGATTTTTAAAAAACTTAATAATATATACTTAATTTTATGTTGTAAACATTTAACCATTAATAAAATAATATTGTACTTTTTTCTATTATTTACCTTTTTTAAATGAACATAACCTTTTTTAACTTAGTTTTATGTATACAATTTTTTTTATTAAAAAGAAAACGGTCAAAACCAATTTGTAAATAATATAGACTTTATAGAAGACTTTGCGCAGCTCGGCGAAAAAAATAAAAAAGTAAAAATGGTAAGTGTTAAATTTTATGGCACGATATTTTTGGTATTAGGTTAATTTAAGCAAGTTTTAAGGGTTTATTTTCAACGCTAAAAAAATTCTTACTTTTAAGAAAATAAGGGTCACAAAATATCAAATAGCCCCGGGCCTTTATGTTGCTTAATCCGGTAGACAAACACAACGAACAAGTTTTTTTCGATGACAGCAGCATAAACACAACCAGAGACTCTGAACAGAACAGACCAGAGATGAAGAAGGCAACAGACAACAAGTAAAAAGTAAGGTTAGGTCACATTGTTACCAGAGACAAAGAAGGTTACCAGAGAAAACAAAACAATAATTTAATATATTTAAATTTGAATGTACAGCGCTTTAACCTTCGGATGACCAACCTCTTGTTTTATACATGGATGACCAAGGGGGGTTAAAAATGACCCCTCCTGATTTTAGTAAACCAAAACATGCTTTCATTATTTTAATGTTATATTTTATATTAAATAATGAAAACAAACATTAGTACCACAAATTTTTATTCCAACTAAACCAAAAAAGTAAAAATATTAGTCTAAACCTAATAAAGGAAGCAATGAAATTGGTAAAAAAATGCACTGGTAACCACAGGTATTACACAGTATG